CGACTAGAGATTGAAGGTATCCTCCTACCCCCTTCCCCTCCCGCCTTCCCTACAACACCTGTACAATACCCTTCCCATTAACACCTCACATTAAGCGTCTAGACGTTCGCTAATCAGCCGAGAAACGTAGTTCTTATTTAATGATCCGCTCTTGCGTCACACGTTTACAAGTTGGTCATTCCACTGGTGATACACAACTCAGGCACAGTACGTGCATTATCGGCGCCTTCATCCATTCATGTGAAAAGGTGATAATGGCAATCACAAATGAGCGCAATTGCAGTATTACTCAATTATAAGTGAATCAGGTGTATGAAAGGTGCGACGAGTGGGAAGCTATAAATACTTATTGATCGGCAAGGAACGAGAAATGAAAGGATCAATCTTGGCGCTATCGTAATATACGGGGGCATCTTATCGGACTACATAAGCCTAGGGGAGGGTATGAACCGTGGGGGAAATGAAAATGGCTCACGCACTTTGGAGACTCTTCTCCACCGCCTAAGGCTTACCACTAGTCCCGTTTCAACAAAAAGAACAGGCTTTACGCAGTTTTAAAGGCATGGTCACCACAGTGCACCCGTATCTTGCGATAGCGCCTCAATTTTTCCGTACTTTGAAGGGAGTGCTAGATGTTGATCATCCCTTGAAAGTACGGAACGAGCTTATTTCCTACAAAAGCGTGCTGTGCGTTCAATCTCGTATCGGTGTTCTTATTTCTATGCCAATCTGGTAACAATCAAAGGAATTGTCAATGCGAAGCTGTTTATTCTCTCTATGTGTTTTGTATGGCCATAGAAGATCATGCGTAGAATTTCCAGTGAAAAGAATGAAATTCTGAAGTGAAACAGCTCCAGGAAAAGCTCACTTCCTGGACCACAACTGACACGGTGGGCGGAGCTAGAAAGCGCTAATGGAACAAAGCACGTCATGTGTGGAGCCACGCGTAAGGTTTTGTGAAGATCTGACATGAAATTCGTTCACATCTACCACGTTTACCACGTTCACACGTGTAGGTTCCACACTGCCAACATTTGTGAAGTTTGACGGCGGATTTTGAATTTCTCATAGTTTACCTGGTTATTTTGGTTATTGTCAAAACAACGGATGTCTTTCACTATCCTTGTAAAACAAGAGGCCTGAGGTATGTTTTTTGGTGAGGATGGAGGCAGGCTCTTTTCCGTGGACGATTCCTTTAATTCGTTTGCAGGGGATGTAGAGCTCAATTTTCTCGGCAGGATGTAGGCCATAAATAATTGATAAATACAGCTTATTTACGCGGGATCCGCTTCTGCAAGTTAATCCGTGTAAAGGGCAGAATGTTCGTGTTTGATCTATTCCTTTTTGGGATGCGCCCGACGTCTGGCTTGCGATAGGAATTGTAGTGGCACCTGGATGCGATGTGAACTATGCAATATCTTGCGAAGTGATTGCTTTTGACGTCTTAGGCCCGTCTTATACCAGATACTCGGAGTGGGAACGTTGCTTGACTTGAGCAGTACTAGAGCCGCAATTTCAAACTTTCTGAATTGTGCGTGTCGTGTCGACATCACTAGCCACTTTCCTGCTTCCGCTCCATTCCGCATAATTTTTGTAAGAGTGGAAGAATGACAAGCTATTCAAAGTAGTCACACAGATTATTAAGAATCCTTTCAATTCTGAATAATTACGCTTCCAGGTGACAAACGTGGCGGAGTTTCTGCGGGGTGAAGAATCGTTGGACAATGTTATTCAGCGGCTTGGAGCGATGTATAAGGAGGAGAAGTTGAAGCATATACTCGAGCATTGTATAGTTGAATAAAAGGGCTCGACGGGGACTACGAGCTTGATGTCTACGATCGAAATAGCCGATTATGTACTGCTAGATTAGTTAGTTTAGAAATTGTTGAACTTGTAGATTCCATGTTCGGTCTTCTTGAAACCTCAGGCATGCTGGAAATATTGCTTGTGTTGTTGTGCCATACAGGTTGTTACGATGGAACTTCTTTATTCGGTCGACGTTTCGAACAATTCGTCGTCTTCAGGACCTCTGCAGTTCCACCAGTGCCACATAATCACTCAATCCCTTGAATAGATGCGGAAAAATTTGAAAAATTAGGGATTGAGTGATTGTGTGGCACTGGTGGAGCTGTAGAGATCCTGAGGACGACGAATTGTTCGAAACGTCGACCGAATAAAGAAGTTCCATCGTAACAACCTGTGCGGCAAAACCACGCAAGCAATGTTGAATTTGCTTTCCCGTCAGGCGATGTCTTATTGCATTTGCGCCTGTGTTCCGGACGAGTCTAATTTTTTGTTGTTATCGTTTCTTTAGAGTCATGTTGTATTTGCGGAGCAGAGGAATTAGGTGAAGTTAGGGTAGGGAGTCTGTGTAAAATTTCCACAGGGCAACGCAGGCATCCAATAAGATTGGTTTCGTTCCGCAATGATTTGTTCTATGTAACTTCTCCAAAATTGGAAGATGCAAGTGAAATTATTCCATCCCCACCGAGGATTGAAAGAATCATTCTATCTTTACCCTAAGGGGACGAAGCGAGGGAAATTCTTTCAACGTCGATTCGTTTTCTCGGCTCGGAAATTTATCCCGCAAAAGACTGTTTTACGTACCCATAAGAAAGCTTAAAAATAAAAATGTGCCAAAATCAAAGTAACGGCTCTATGGGAGACGAACGAATTCAAATTTATCTGAGCCTTTTCTCCTTCCGGAGGAATTATAGCATACGACTCACGTACCCTAAATCATGGCATTGGCCTTGGTTCAAGTTTCGCGAACATTATTGTACCTGCTCAGAACTCTCTTTGAATGAACATAAGTACAGTGTCTTTGAGGAGCCGCTCACGGGTTCTGTTACAATGTTGTTATTTTGAAGTCTCGTTTATAACGCAATAAATGTGTTATTTGTACAGTGATGATCACGTAAAGGAATGAAGGCAAATGGCTAAGCCTGAAAAATATTTTCAAACGAATAATTCGATGGTTCCTCGAACGGCTGCGCTAGTATACCAAACATTGGGGTACCAACAGTAGGCCCGTCGCAAAGCTTGAAGGCAGAGACGCAGACGGGTCAGCGGACGAGTTGCAGCGCGCACTGCAGTTATTGCGCGTCAAGTCGAATATATCCTCTGCTTCCAAAAACCAGATGAGCGTCGAGTGCAGACCACACACCACAAGTGACGACGGCCTCCAAGTAAATCTGGTTAGTAGTGATTCATAGTGATAGCTGATAGTTGGTAAATGATAGTTTGTAATTAGTGACAACTGATAGAATACAACTGCAACAGGCTAATCATTTCATTGGCAGAAAACATTTACATTTTGTGGAGGCCGTCGTCACTTGTGGTGTGTGGTCTGCACTCGACGCTCATTCTGGTTTTCGGAAGCAGAGGGTACATTCTATTCAACTTGACTCAAAATCACCCTGCTGCGACTCGTCCACTGACCCGTCTCCGTCCATCCCTTCTCGCCATGCGATGGGCCTCCTCTCGGATACTCCAGGGATTGTGCTAGCAAGCAACCAGAGAAAACTAGGAGATCGTGGTAGACTGGGTGTTGTGTTTGAATATTCGCGTTAATGAATCACCCAGCGTTAGACCAAGATTCGGAGCACTGATGAGCGAAATGACGTGATGGTACGATCGTCGTGGAGGTGAAGCAGCCATGAACGAAGTTCGATAGTAGCTAAGGGCATCTTGTGGAGATCGAAGCTGAAATTACTGTGTTCAGCATATGGGTTCACTGGGTAAATGTAGGAAGGAAAGACCGCGTTCGTAGTTCGCGACTCCGGAGATTAGGATAGGACGCGACAATGAAAGAGATATGTATTGACGGGGAGAATAGAATAGTAGTAGATTAGGAAAGTGCGCTGAAAACTTACCTTGTGGAAAGACAGGCGGACCCCCTATGGGTGTGGAGCGACACGCAATTGGCAGGGAAGGATGCGCTCCGGCGATTTCCGCTATACCGCGCCGATAGCACCGCCTTCCCCGCAGCGCTATCGGCGTGGTACGCCCACCGACTGGCTGACCACTCGCCGCAGCTCTCTAGCCGTTCAGCAGAGAGAGCAGAGCGTTGGCGTTGAATAGGGCAGCACCGATGAGAGCCGCATCAATGCGGAAATCAACGAGCAAGAAAAGGGTCCATTTCTCGGGTTCTGGGCCGTTTCTCATGGGTTTTCTTCTTCCCTGGACATCACTGACACCCTTAGCTTGACTCTAATGGGTACACTAATGGGCCTTCTAATCGTACATTTCACCTTCTATAGGTATGCTTTAGTGATCTACTGTTCGATTATTTTCAGGAGAGGATTGCTAAAGACGTAAAATCGCTGGCACAGATTGTTCAAAACAAGCTAGAAATTGTTCTTCTAGCCTGAGACAATCGTGCTGAAAGCTATGGTACGTATACCATGAAAAGCTGAGTTGGAATGAAATGGTGCCCCGGTAGCGTAACTGGTAGCGCACTTGCCCGGAAAGCGAGAGGTGCGGGTTCTAGTCCCGCCTGGGGCGAAAGTTTTGTTCACAACCCAGCATTCTTGTGAAACATTCGCAACGCGAACTGCGGCGTTAAAACAGCAGTTAACAAACAAAACAAGTCAAAATCGTGTCAACGTTAAGCTCTGGGGGAGATTTGTTTGAGAAAAAATCAAATAACGTACGTTTGTGGATAACTGTTTGAAATCGAATCCACGGGCCATGTCTTCAAAAGCATCCTTTTTGTTGAAGAGAAGAATGAATCCGACGCGATTGAGGAGATCATTTTGCACCAGTCGTTCGTAGATGTTTATTGTTTTGTTTTTAAGATGACCCTGAAAAATTTTGAGGTTACAGGATCCTCTTGTAGGGCAAAAAAGACTAAGTGAATCAAAATCTGACCCTCTTCCCTTTTGAAGGACGGGGAGAGCATATTTGCTCATAGGTAGCGAGCATTTAAAAGCGGTAAAAGCATTTAAATCGCAACAACCATTTTATTTTATCATAGACATTTAAGAGAAGTACCTAGTCTCCCGCAGTAGCACGATGCGTTGTTCGTTTGCCCTCCATCGGTGAGAGCGTTCCAGCCCATCCCGTGAAAGGAGTGTAATTCATAAGGGGGATGACACGATGAAACGTTTGTTAAGATTCAGTGGCACTTGAATTCAGGCTTAACGTATGCTTTAGAGAGAGGAAGGAAGTTGAGGTGCGTAACCAAGTTTCATTTTTTTCGTCCTTCCTCTTCCTCTCAAAACTATGGTTAATCTGGAAATCGCTCAAAATTGTGCCGCTGCGCCCCATTTGTGTCAGCATCGAGAATTTATTTCCAGAGGTAGAGAGGAAGTGGTAGCGAAAGAAACATCCCTTATCAAGAGAAAAGGATGAGAAATTTGTTCACCCACTATCTCCTCTCCAAAATCCTCGTCCTTCGCCTATCAACTGCTCCTTCACCCCAGCACAAAAAGCACAACTAATGCAACCTCCAGCACAGTATAAAAAAGCTCAAAAATGGGGTAGGAACTGTGGGGAGTTCGTGTCTTCAAAAGACCCCTAAATATTTGAATGCGTTGGAACCTTTTGAACCTCATTTCATACTCCATATCACACGAACTGCGCGTCAAAATGTTCCTTCCAGCCGAGGGAGCGCAGGTAAGTAGAGCGCCGTGTCAAAGCGTGAACATGGAAACTAGTAGGTACTCTTTTGATCGAATGTAGTAATATAAAACACCGCGGCTTCGAATGTTCGTTTCTACTATCCTCCCAACCCCTGCCCAAGAAAATGAGCGTCCAAAATCCATTCTGTAGTGAATAATTCCTGTAAACTGCCTCTTGAAAGCGTACTGGAAGTACAGTCAGCCTGATGAAAATCTGGTCGGGGAAAGTTCGTTTGAATAAAAAAGTAAAGTTTCCAAAGTTTCAAATGGTCTAGCAATAAATAGTGATGTTCTGTAAATTTGAGCACGAGTACGGATTCCTAATTTCAGCGTGCAAAGGACTGTGGCGCTCAAAAAACTTTTATAATTAATATTATCACAAGCTCCGGCGGCAGTCA